CCCTTTTAACCTTTATAACACCTCTTCTTCAAGACATATTTCTTGCTCCTTTGCATGTGGATGTCATAGATCTGATATATTTACAGTTGACGTCTCTTGTATTCTTATCAGCATATCCTTGTCCTTCTTTATCAAGATAATAATCTTTTTTCCCCCAAGATGTTGGCAGAGCAGGAAGGGAACATCACCTTCACTCCTATTTCCCTCCCATGAATCTATCATTTGTATTCCAGATTGTTATCTTTGTCTGGCAAATATTCTGGATGTTGCTTCCACAGCTCTTGTTCCCATTTTTTTATACCCTTGAATTCCCCCTCTGCCCATGATCTTTCTCCTGTCACCCATACCAGATGGATTTGCCAGCTTTCTTCATCTTGCTTATGCACTGTTATCTGTGGATTATTGTCATATTTTCCATGTTTCATCCCACGAGATCTGTCATCTCGCTATTTCCTTGCTGCTCACTTCTGTTTTCCATTGGGATTGTACAGGCTGGCATGTGGACTAGTACTCGCACATTTATTGCCCATTACCTACATTGTTTGGCCATCTCCTCCTCATCTGGCAATCGCTTGCTACCCATTGCCATTCTCCATACCTCATTTTGACTCTGAAAGAGTAAGTTCTTACTTTTTTATTTCTTCCTTTACACTTTTTTTTCCTTTCCCGGATCCAGCTCTATGGTGAGTGGTGCCCGTCCTGGTATACCTGAATATAAATCTGCACCACCCAGCAGTACAGGTTTATAATGCTCATTGAAGAGGACTGGCCTTCTTTTCAAAATAGGGTTTTGTAGTCATTCATTGCACTGTCTTAGAGTGTTGTGTTCCTCCGAACTTCACATAGAATTGTTCCACTCCTTCTCTCAGTGGAGTGCGGGAGTCCTTGCCACTTACCAGTTCCTAGCCACATGGGCAGTGGGCTGTGCAGACTTCCTCCTGAGTGTGACCAATTCCAAGAGTGCCATGTGTAGGGTGGTGGTGTTCTACTATGGATTGGAAGATTAATACTGATGCCACCTGGTTTTGGACTGGATAAATCCACTATGTGCAGTTCACCCCTCTGGTTGGCTCTCCCCCATCACACTGCTGCCTGGATGTTGGTTCCCATTTGATCTGGTGTTGAATTGATGTAGGAACAGCCAACATAAGACCTTACACCTGTGAAGCATTTGCAGCATTTTGAGGCATTTTACTATATTTTCAAATGCTTCGAGAAGTGAGAAATATAAATTTTATAATGTTCCATGTCTGAACACATATGAAGAAATATTGTATGGAGAAATTACTATGTATTATATCTACATAAACAGATGCAACTGTAGCAGAGAGAAAGCTATGAGAAAGTTTATATTAACTTTGTAAAAGGCATGAAACACATTCTATAGAAAGCATTAGAATGGAAACCAGAGACTCTAGGTGGAACTTTTATCAGAAGGAAGGTGAGGAGAAATACATGCAAACAGGCTGTCAATTTCCTGTCTTCGATCATAACCAATTACTGAATTAGTTCTGGTTACAGTTCTGAGAATTAAGATGAGTCAACTAAATTCATCCAATAAAGTGACCAACTCCGATGTGTACACTATTTGGAGAACCATAAGAATACAAAGAAAATTGTATAAGAACCCATGATTTTGGGCTAAAGTTATGTTTTCCAACACTGAAGAAAAGGCCGTTGGTCCTGCTGTCAGAAAGTTCTCTGCTTGTTCCTGATGCTACCCAACTTCTCTTAAGCCAAGAACATTCTTGATGTCTGCACTTCATCACGTCCACAATACCCACTATTTAACTTCAATGTAAGTAACAATTGCTATTTCTCTCAGTCGAGGAGCATAGTTAGGAAATTGATGTAAAGTAAAGTATGTCTGAGCACATTTCATATGATATTTTAATTGCTAACTTGTGGATCATAGTAAATAACCTGATGAGTTGTAGAGTTTAATTAATGAAACTTTGATTGCTCGGAATGAGAAATTTGATTCTTTTGATGTGTTACTTTTCTTGATATCAATGTAGAAGAATAACTTAATATATTGTACTAAAGATTGATGTGATTTTTGGTATTGGTCTCCCGGTCAATTCTTTATTCTAACTGTAAACTTCCTTGAGTTGGTGACTTGTGTACTCCACTCACAACTGTATACCTGGATTTAAAATAAATCTATTTGTAACTGGATTTAAACTTGGCATAAAAATGCAGCTAATAACCTCAATTTTAATATCATATAAGTTTTAAGTTCTTATTTTTATGAAGCATATTAAAAAGAAATCCTGAATTTCCCTTAGTATGAGTATTGTGACATTTGCTGTCAAGGTTTTCTTTCTTCTCTAATTTATTTACCACCCCTCTAAGAAATATAAAATTTAACATAAATTACTCCTTAGAATGTTGTCATCATTCATGTGAAGCATAATTTTTATAGCTTTGATTCTTATTTGGTTATGGAGCTATAAAATAGAAAATCAGACCCCACTTGCCATGCTCACCTGTCACTTCCTCTCTTTCAGAAATTGTCAGTAGTTCTCTCTTATGTTTAATACTATATTATTTATAATCAATAGAAAGCCAAAGTTCTAATCTATCAAATGATATATGTTGTCTTCTGTCTATTTTGTTTCCATTTCAAACTTTATTTCCACAAGAAACGCATCAATGAGCTTAGCTGAAATTTTAACGGCTCTTGTCGCACAGTTAGGAAGCCAGAAACAATATGATAGTTATAGGGCTTTGTCTGCTTTTTACTTGTTATTATTCTGTGTTCTCTAAAGCATTATTTAAATAATTAAAAATTGTTTAGTGCAGTAGTACCATTAGCATAAAAAGGTAGGGTTAAGTTTCATTGACAGTCGACAGTAAAAAAAAAGTAACTATTAAAAATTAGAAACTATTTAGGTTAGATTAGATAAAATGAACAATTATAACGACAATCTCTCATGGAATATGCTTGCGAGCAACTCATGAGTAGTCTGTGCACCATGTCATTTGATATAGTAACGTGAACTACGTGTTCGTCAAGTGATATACAACTTGTGTGGTGTGAATATTATTTAGACACAATTCAAAGAGCAATAAAACAATTAAATGTAAGAATAAACATATGTATACTGTCACAAGTTTAAAGCTATTTAGGATAAACACATGTAGTTTCATATTTCAAATTAATGTAATTCTAGAAAGAAGAAAAGGGTAACTTAGATTTATTTATTTTTAATTTTTTGGTAGTTACAATTTGTCTGAATGCATATAGAGTTAAGGTAGAGAAGATAACACATAGAATATGAAGTTTTATTATAAAAGAAATTTATTTAGGAGGTTTTAGGGATTATGAAAATGAAATTTGAGATTTTTCAGATGAAGAAAAGTATTTTTAATCTTAACATGAAAATCACTTTGTAGTCAAAGCAGTCAACACTTATATTTCATATACTCTTGGAGAAATATTTAGTGAAAACACTTCATTAAAAATGATGATTTTTTCAAGTTCTAGCATTAAAACTCTACAAGGGATCATACACTTAAGATTTTTTATACTTGGGGTGATGTCACACTTTGCATTTAGTTATGTTGATATTCAAGATGTTATACATCATGACTATTTTAATATGCAGGGTAAAGTGATACATTAGGGTTATTTTCATATACAAGTAGGTTTTTTCTATAAGTAGAGTGAAATCATACATTAGGATCATTTTAACATGCTAGATAATGTTGCACATTAGGATCATTTTAACATGCAAGATAATGTTGTACATTAGAATCATTTTAACATGCAAGATAATGTTGTACATTAGGATCATTTTAACATACAAGACAATGTTGTACATTAGGATCATTTTAACATGCAAGATAATGTTGTACATTAGGATCATTTTAACATGCAAGATAATGTTGTACATTGGGATCATTTTAACATACAAGATAATGTTGTACTTTAGGATTATTTTTACATGTATGATAATGTCGTATGTTATGATAATTTTAACATATAAGATAATGTCATACATTAGATCATTTTAACATGTAAGATAATGTCATACTAGATCATTTTAACATAGAAGACAATGTTGTACATTAGGATCATTTTTACATGTATGATAATGTCGTATGTTATGATCATTTTAACATGCAAGATAATGTCATTCAATAGGATGATTTTAACATGTAAGAATGTCACACATTAGGATCATTTTAACATATAAGATAATGTTGTACATCAGATCATTTTAACATATAAGATAATGTCATACATTAGATCATTTTAACATGTAAGATAATGTCATACATTAGATCATTTTAACATAGAAGATAATGCCATACATACATCAGGAACATTTTGTGTTAGATAACTTCATATAATAGGATAATTTTAACATGTAAGATAATGTCGTATGTTAGGATCATTTTAACATGTAAGATAATGTGCAAGATAATGTCATACATTAAGATTATTTTCATATACAGAATAATGAAATATCAGTTAGTATTTATTGTACAGATACTGGCCTGCAGTTTAAAAAAAATCAACAATTGGAATAAATAAATATATTAAAAATAGTGCATGAGGTCCACTTTTATTAAAAATTGGTTGACATTTTTATGTAACTGTTTACTTAGACCACTTTGAAGAAACATAATAGACTATTTCCCAAGTAAACATAGTATTGTAATTTGTAAAAAGGAGTTTTTTTGTGCTTACTATAGTTGGTTATTACAATTTATACTTTTGTGCTAATGGCAAATATAGTGGGGAATTTGGTAATTAATTTTAATAAAATACTTGAAAAATAAGGGTAAAGCATATATTGACAATTAATTAACATTATTTTTAGTTATATAGGTGGTTCCTTCTTCATGTATTCAGTGATTTCCCATAATTTTCTAGTTTATTTTTAGTTAAGATTAGCTGTTTATCACAAAAATGTTATTGTGAATTTCTGGCAATGTTGAACACATTTTTTTATTCTCAATTTAAAGATTATCACAAAATATTTTTCCAGATTAAAGAAGCAGCATTTTGGGGAAACAATTTTGTGATGAGTGGTTCAGATTGTGGTCATATATTTACATGGGATAGACATTCTTCTGAGTTAGTCATGATCATGGAAGCTGACCATCATGTGGTTAACTGTTTACAACCACATCCCTTTGATCCAAGTAAGTCTAATCTTGTACAGTGTTGCTCTTATGAACAATTTAATTGTGGTCTCAGAAGCCTTCTAAATAGGTTTTCCTTGTTTTAAAGTTAATAGCAAAGCTAGAACAACAGATGATAAGCAAGTTAGTATCAACTATAACATGAAAATTATGTCCTTTAAGAAAATGCTAATGAAAAATAATTTTGAAGTTGCTGTTAGATACCCTAAAATAGTTAGAAATTACATAACCTCTAATGATTTGACACTGGAAGATATCAAACAAAGGTACTTACATTGTGCCTTATCAGTCTTGGAAGAAACGTAAGAATCACAGAAGGAAAAAGCTACATCAAAAATGACGGTACACATAGTGCTATTTTTCTATATATGAGAGATTTCAGTCATAAAATTGACTGAAATAAGACTAAAATGATTAAAATAATATATGAGACAGAAAATTACATAAAAATAATTGTTGAAACTTTACTTATAGAAAGCTCACTAAATTTTAATTCCTTTTATAAACTGAACTGTGCCCTCAGGGGAAATATAAAGTTTGCTATTAGATAAGTTCTATGAACTAATTTTTTCCCAGAAGACATTCATTATTAACTTCTTATCAGAGTAAGCTACAACTTTAACCTGGTAATGAGTATAGCTAATTAAATATCATTTTTGTTTGTTCTTATTTATAAAGACTAGGATGCATTGTTTTGTTAGTGGGGTACACTCTCTGTTAACAGTATTTTTGGCTATAAGCATCGAACTAAAGAGGACGTGAATGTGTCAAAACTAATATTCTTTTACAAGTCTTTTTCATAGAATATGTTTTGTTCCAAATATGTTTTTCTCTTACATTTAAATGTTAAACATGATATTGTGCTATGTTTACTATTGTATGATTTATTTTAATCTATTGTGATAGTTATTTCAAATTCATGGAAATGTAATTTTATACAATTGTTATTTTACATTCAGTTAAGTGCTAACTCATCTTTATAACCTAAATAACAATAATGTTTTTGGCTTGTTAAAATCAGTAATTTGAGATATAATAATTGGGATAGAAAGTATTTAATGTTTGGGCATATCAAGTCAAATTTACAAAAAGAAAAATGTACCAAATTTGCCAAAAAACTCAGTAAATCATCTCGAAGGAATGAATAAAATTCTCTGTCAGGCTGAAAACATGAAGCTTGATAATTATGTTTGTATTTCGACTCCAAGTTTTTACTCTCTTATTAGTAAATGTATAAAATAGTTTTCATCCAGCTGTCTTTTGGGTCTTATTTAAAATTTCATGAGTACAGTAATTTTAACTTGTTTTGTATCTGTGTGCTTGGAAATTATTTCTAAGGGGTTTGTCACTGTTGATACTTGAAGTATAATTTTCTGTGGTTTTTATCTCTATATGTTATCAAGTAACCTTCTCTAAAGGCCATATAATTCATATGAAACCTTGAAAATTATTTACATATTTCCTGGGATGTGGAAACTTAGCAAATCTAATGACTATTGCAAGAATATAAAAAATATGATTTTATATACTCAAAAATGTTGAGGATATAAGTTAGTTTCATATTACTTAGTTAGTTCTGGGGTATCTATAAGATTATTTTAGTGAGATTTTTAAAGTATTTTGTTAAAGTTGTGATAGAATTTGTAAATATATATATATAAAATAATGTTACAAATCCCTCAGTGAAATATTTGAGATGAATGATTACAAAAGACACGAAGGTGACTTATTCTACATTGGTATATAAGTGTTGAAAAAGAATGGCCTTTTTAAATTGTTTCTTTTGGAGGTTAGAACAACCACTAGTTATACAATAAAAACTAGCAGTTTATAGGAATATGTGTGGACATGTCCAAATATTAGAATTTAGTGTACTGATTTATTGGTGGTTAATAGTATAAAATGATCAAAGTAAGCTACCTAAGTAAATTAGAACTAAACAGCTATAGCCAGTAATGAGCACATCTAATTAAATTAAATATAATGTTTTAACTGTATTACTTATCGTGATTAGAATGCATTATTTCATTACTTGGTACCTTGACTGTTAATAGTATTTGTGGCTGTAAACTCAATAGTATATCACAAGGTTTGGCCAGTCCAGAAGGCTTGGACTGGACTTAAATTCCTATTCTAAGCTGCATTGTGTAAGAATTATTATAATAAAAACCATAAGATTAAATTAGAAATAATTAAAATAATAATAAGTAGATATATTATATATTCTAACTAACATTGTGTGTTTGTCTACACTGTGGTAAAAGTTTCACTTGTTTAGGCCAGTGTTCAAGTATGAACTTTGCTGTGGTAAAAGTTATACTTGGCTCAGTCAGCTTTGTAGATTTAGGTGAGTCCTAAGTTCATAAACTAAGCTAACAATGTGAGATAATCTTTATAATAATAATAATGAAAGAATATAAATCAAAATGGGTTGTAATAAATACAATAATCAAAACTGTTAATTAAAGTAACATTAAAGAAAGGATAAGGTATAACTAACTTACTGTTGTTGCTGGAAAATAAATAATACTCACTGTCCCTAAAATATGCCAAAAACTAGATGGACTTCTGCAGGATCCCCAAAAGTGTTCTGTTTCAGGAGTAAATAAAACCAAAATTAAGAGGAACAAATATTTTTGTTTCTTGCTTTTGAAGTTTATATGTCGTGTTGTGTTGCAGCCTCAGAGTGTATAATAATTCATATACCGTGTTGTGTTGCAGCGTCAGAGTGTATAATAGTTCATATACCGTGTTGTGTTGCAGCGTCAGAGTGTATAATAGTTCGTATACCGTGTTGTGTTGCAGTGTCAGAGTGTATAATAGTTCATATACCGTGTTGTGTTGCAGCTTCAGAGTGTATGATAGTTCATATGTCGTGTTGTGATGCAGCATCAGAGTGTATAATAGTTCATATGTCGTGTTGTGTTGCAGCCTCAGAGTGTATAATAGTTCATATGTCGTGTTGTGTTGCAGCATCAGAGTGTATGATAGTTCATATACCGTGTTGTGTTGCAGCGTCAGAGTGTATAATAGTTCATATACCGTGTTGTGATGCAGCGTCAGAGTGTATAATACTTCATATACCGTGTTGTGATGCAGCCTCAGAGTGTATAATTCTTCTCAGAATTCATGGCATATGTACGTTTTACTGAAGCCACAATAGTACAGATTGCAATGTTATGTGATGCCATTTTAGTGTCTAATGACTAACTGACAGACAACACACTACTGTATAGTGGTTTGGGCGGTTAAAAGAGGTGACCCCTCCAGGTGGCTTTAGGCCCCTATTGGGGTAATGAGGGAGCTACGCACTATTAGAACAGTGTCTTCGCTTATCCTAGAAGTTACTGTCCTTGAACTCATCACCACCTGGTAGTTTTGCAATTACAAAATATGGTTATAAGTAAGCAGAAGATATGATAATTTTATCTCACATTCCTCAATGTTAAGTGATATTTTCTGGAAAGATCTGGGAAAATTAACAATTTCACCACAATTTACAATTTTTATTTTTAAATGTAGTATGTTCCACGACTTTTACATATTTGAGCTTCCAACTACCTCAAAATTAATTTTCACTATAGAAACAAATCAGTTGTAAAATTCCATTTGTAGACTTTCCCATCACTAAAACATTAGATTTTTTTCATTCTTCTATGGACGAGAAGCTTATATACTTATATCTTAGATTTTGAAACCCATAATACTGTAGCTGCTAAATGTACATTGTATACACCCTTATATTTGTACCAATGACTTAAATCAACCCAGTTATTTGTAAATTTCATGAAAATTGACAACTTCAATAAATTTGTCAACAAATGCACATGCTGTCATTTAAACACTATTAAAAGCAGCATCATTCACATCTTTCAGAGCAGTGACAAAGACATAACTGTACTTGAAGATTTTAGCCATTTTTATAAAGCCAAAAATAAATAGTTATCTTACCAAGCTCGTTGGTGTATCCACTCTCCGGCTATCGTCGTCAGCATATCCACTCTCCGGCTATCGTCATCAGCATATCCACTCTTCAGCAATTATCGTATTGCATTAACTACCCCATGCTCCCAACATTTATCACAAAATCTGAGGTTAACCATGTCATCTAGCAACTTAACACCTAAGACAGACATTCAACAAATTCAGATGACTATTTAAAGAGAGAAAACTTTATGAATCTGAGGTTAACCATGTCATCTAGCAACTTAACACCTAAGACAGACATTCAACAAATTCAGATGACTATTTAAAGAGAGAAAACTTTATTCAGTATCAGCTGTAACTTTTTAGAAGTAAAACAGGTATATGTCTCCTGACCATGATCATTAATCATGTAAGCCACACTAATGCCTCTAACACAGCAAATCATGCTATTTCTGCATATAGCTAGATAAACTTGATGAAAATTCTACAGCTGACAGTGCAGTTATGATAGGTTTAAAGTTCAATAGAGGTCAATGCACAGAAATAAGAAATCTTTGAGTACTTATCCTCCAGAAACAATAACAGCTGGTGAATCAGCCCATAAATGCCACTTGATCCAAATCTTTATTTTTTCACTGCCCTGCCTCACCTCCTCATAATTTCCAGAGTTACACATATTCTCAAACACACTTATACAGCTCTTCCTTTCTTATAAAACATTCCTGTTGAAGACTTGAACTAAAAGAATAAATAATTTACAGAGAAATGGATTAATGTCATTATAACTTTCAAAATGGATCACAGTATTTTATCTAAAACTTCATTTCAACATCATGTTTAATGTTGTTTTTCCATCATAGTTCATTACCTTCCCAGAAACATGCAAGTAAAAATAATGTTTTAGTAAAAAATATTTTAAATGGTAACTTGTCATTTTTTATAATTTACTTGGTGTAATTTACAAAGAAGTAAGAAAACAATGTTACAATCTGAAAACAAACTTACATTTTGCATAGCTCTGAGGAGCCTCACCCATAAACAACACACTTATAATTATTTTTTAGAAATTTTCTGCCTATCCCATGAAATAGTTATATTAACTAAGAAATTGCCCTTACTTGATAATATATTGTTCAAAGATTTATTTCTCATAAGATTTTCCTTTTCTTTTTCTGATTTTATTAGTATGGCTTTTCATACCCACTTATTTATGACCTCACAGAATGTGATCAGGACAGCTACTAACATAAACCAGCTTTGGAAACAGTTACAGGCAAAGTTTAAACACCATTTGATTGAGCATATTATAATTTTTGTTGATGTAGAGTGAATAAAGTGGTGTGAGAAGTAGGGAACAATAATAGAATATAGTGAGAAGTTTAGAAATTTTTGGGACAAATCACAGATGTGGATTTTTTATAGTTTGTTTGGATGTTCTTTTAATTCCTGAAATGTATTTTCATGTTAATTTATATGTATTTGAAAGCTATGTAGGACAAGACATCTGGTAAGTCTTGAGAGTATGATGGTTCAAAACCTAATTTATTGAGTATTATTGTGAAGTTTATCATATTTAAACAATGCATATATATAAAATAACGTATCATTTATTGAAAAAAAGTAAATTTGTTAGATATAAATTTATTTTGACCAAGAAAATTGTTAGCAAAGATATTTTGAAAGGTTAGGTTCTAGGTCATCATTAAATCTTTGTCAGTTTCTGCACTTTTTACCATTTAAAGTTGGAAGTGGTGACTACTGCAACCTGCAAAATAAAGTACCAAAATAAATATCAATCAATTTGAAACTGGATAAATAAGATATAAAAATAAATATGTTAATAAATATCAATCAATTTGAAACTGGATAAATAAAATTTAATAATAAATATGTTAATAAATATCAATCAATTTGAAACTGGATAAATAAAATATAAAAATATATATGTTAATAAATATCAATCAATATGAAACTGGATAAATAAAATTTAATAATAAATATGTTAATAAATATCAATCAATTTGAAAGTGGATAAATAAAATGTAAATTTCTGATCAATATTTAAAAAATGAAATATAAAAATGAAGGTAAGTTTCACAACAGGAAAAAATAATTGAAAACTTAAGTGAAATTATAGGAAAATTTTAGAACCAAAACAAGATATTATTTATTAAGTTTGTTCTAAGCTTCATGCAACGTGATTAAGTCTTTCCACTCTTAGAAGGAAAAAAATCAAGGGTTATCAATGACATTCCCCCATCAGGAAAGGGTTAAAGAGTTAGTAAGTGTAAGTCAGTATATTAAGTAGGGTAAAATAGGTTAGTTTATTGTAAGAACCATAGAAACAAAATTTAATAAAAGACTCAACCCTAACATATGATGTATAATTTTTGTAGTTTTAGCATCTAGTGGAATTGACTATGATATCAAGCTGTGGGCTCCAGTTCGAGAGGAACCATTTTTTGACCAGGAAAAAGCTAAGGAGGTGAGAAGAAAATTTGATGATGATTCAAATACATAATTATGGTTATGTACCTAACTTTAATTATTTTATTTAAGAAAGGCCAACTTAAGGAAGATTTTAAAAAAATTGAAATTATTTTGAAGATAATATTTAATAATGTAAATAAAGGCCTTAAGGTGTGTGATGTAACTTGAGATGTTGTAGTTTAAGACATTTATTGTGAAGAAAAATTTCTAATTGGTGTTTTTTGGCCAGTGGTATTTTGGTATTTTTCTTGTAGGTAGAATCTTCTGTTATGTGTGCACAGCTAATTTTATACTTAAGAACAAAATGAATGACTCTAATTTTCTTTAGATAACCAGAGTTAAGGCTATTGTATCTAAAAATTTTCTTTTTTTATATTACTTTTGATGTTGTGACTTCAGTGCATTTTAAATGTTTAAAGTAAGTAGTTTTGTTTTTATTATAGCAAAGTGAGTGGAGGAATATCAAGTTGAGTGGTATTAGCTCTTTCTATAGAATATATATCTCACTTGATAATCATAAAACACTAACAAAACTGACTAGTATTTATGGTTAAGGTCGATCCACTTAAGTTGTTGAATGGCTTTAAAAATCCTTTGAAACCATCTGATCATGTGAACTAAACCTCTCTCAAGACACTCAGTGGTGATATTCTAAAAGCACTAACTCAAATTAAACATGTATATTAATGACCTTTAACTCTTAATTGTGATATGGCCTGTTCCAGTTACTGTTTACCCCTCATGTATATGTAGTTTTGGTTTTTAATTGTATTTGTATGCTTGGGTTTATTTTGTTAAATGAAAGGATTTTGTCAAAGTTTTGATGGTCAAGTCAGCAATGTTGTCAGTAGGAATTACCTTGTGAATAGGTTTAATTCCTTCTCTCACTTTACACTTTGTGTTACATGAGGCTTTCAGTGCTTTTATTTTATTCATTTTCTTAAATATGTTTTAATGATTAGTTATTTGATTTTTAAGTCTTCCACTTCTCCTTTACTCTGTTTTGACCCGTAATGTAATCACAGTTGTAGTGTGATTTGATATTGTTTTTATTTGTGCATGAAGCAGGTTTCAGTCATTTCTCCCATCATATATGGGTATCAATGTAGAATCTTAGTTTAATAATAATGCAAAATGTTTGTAGATTTGTAATTACCCCTTGTCTTGGTGACTAAAGGTGTCTTTGTCATTATCTTCATTTGCTTATAATTACATATATGTATTGAAAACAATATTTACTTGTGTAATACTAGATGCCATAGTTAATTGAGCAAGGTAATGTTTAAATGATGCTTAATAATAGTCTGACTAAATTCTGATTTTATTTAGTAGATGGCATTTCTAACATTCTTGGTTTTTATGCATCTCTCTACCTGTATGCAACTTGCACATTGTTATCTTTATTTGTTCTCCACTCAGCTACCTGAATAATCGATTTGTTAGGCAGGGTAGCTAGGTTTCTCCAATGTTTTAATAAATACATTGATCTGAATGATTTTGGAAGCCACTAAATAGTTTTATTGATAATTCTGATACTGTACTTTCTCTAAATTGTTCTGTTTTCATGAGCCTCTTATGAGAGCTCTGATACATCTTTCTTCAGCTTTTTTGTTAGCTTTTTTGTTTTTTTAGTTACATAAACTTTTTATTACAGAAAATAGTTTTGTTGTTTTGGCTTCAATTATCAGTAATTTTTTTTTCACAAGTCCTGGAAAATTTCAAAGTTAATTTTCTCAACTGGAAAAGTTATGGAAAACTGTGACTATGAATTGTATCTTCCGATATGTTACATACCTCACTGCCCTCTAACACATTGAAAGGAAATTTTCTTGCTTGACAAGCTAACTTTTAAACCCCACAAGTTGGAGTTGCTCATTTAGCATGCCTAGAGCATTTGACAACCATCCACAAATAGGAGCATGACACACACGCCTAGAATAGCTGGCTCCCTCTGTACTACTTTATATGAACCGCACTTTCTCTATTGTTTCTCACTTGCTTTCAATTTTCAGTAATTTTTTGCCCCTGATATTTTGGACTTTGTTCATGTTTGTTATTTTTTGAATTAGTATCCTTTGCACTTTTTTGCATTCTGGTGTGTTACGTTTAATTACCATTTTCACCCAATTTATTGCAAATTATGAATTCACGATTTACCGTGATTACCACCAGAGCTCCTGAAGATACTGATGACACACAAACTCCTGTTACCCCAGTCTTGGGATTGACATTGTCTGCCAGGGAGGTGCATGCCCTGATTCATCAGGAGTTTGCTTCTTACATGGGGCCTGGACCTTCTTCTCCACTCTGGCCGGCACCTCTTCAGACTGATGAAAATGTTAAAGATGTAGACAGCTTTTTACCTGCACTTTTGGGGAAGGTTCAACCTTCTACTTCTTTCCTCCTATTAATTACACAGGTTTGTCACATTTTGAATATTTCTCCTGTTTCCTATGATACCTCTCCTTTTGTGTGAGGTTCATACATAGTGGTTTTTATCACAATTATGTTTGGAGGTTAGTATGTCTCTTTTGCATTTCATTGCTCTTCATATCCTTATTTTGATTCCCAACAATTAGATCTACTATTAGACCTCTGGGGTTCTAATCTTGTGGCTTCTGTATCATTTCACAGGCACAATTTTTGAGGATTTGTCTTACACTTGTTAACATTTTGTGTTACCTCTCCTCTTTGTACCTTTTGTTTGAGGCCTTTTCTCCTGACAACTTTTTGGAGGATCTCAAATCCCTCCTGTGATCAACTTTGGCATGACTCTCTTTATTCACCCTTTCCCTACTTCCCTGGCTGCATTGTTGTTGGGAAGATACGAGCTCCTTGTGGGGTTTGTTCCCCCCATTTTCCCTCAGGGACTTAAGGATGGCTTCATTTTTGCATGACACTGTTTTGCATACTTCTATATTTTCCCTTGTTCATAGTTTATTACAACCTTCCTTCTCCACACATCCTAAACCTATTCCTGTTTCCCATCCTCTCGCTTCCATACCTTGTCCTTTCCAGATCTTGACATTATCCTCATTTTTTCCAGTGTCTGTCAAGAACATCGACCGTGATGTTGGTGACTACACAGTGGGGTCATGTCCTATAGAAGCAAAGCTCCACCACTTTGCCAATTCTGCAAGTTTTGTCGGAGGTTCTCTCTTTTCAATTCCAGTCACCACCTCCTTTCCTAGTCTTCGGTTCCTCTCCCTACTCCAAGGAATCCTTCTTCAGCAGTCTTCTGTCTGAGGCAATGAGAAACATTCTTTTGAAGGAAGCTATCGAACTGGTGTATCGGGTTTTACTCTCGGCTTTAGTTGTCCCCAAACAAAACTGGTGATTGAAGACCTGTTATTGATCTCTCCCATCTAAATCAATTTTTAGATTCTCCTTGTTTCTCTATGGAGTTGTTTCTGTCCCTTCCTTGAGTTTTCACCCCAGGTCTTTAGATGATGAAGTTTGACATAGCGGATGCATACCTTCGTGTTCCCATCTCTACATCCTCACATCATTTTCTTTGGTTCATTCATAAGGGGAGTGTTTTCCAGTTCCAGGCTCTTCTGTTTGGTGTTTTTTGTCAGGTAGTCAAGACCTTCGTTCAACATTTATATTTGTTAGGACACTAGTCTTATCATTAAATGAATGACTGGCTTTTTCGGGCTCCTTCCTGTTTTGTATCTTCTAGTCACACCCATTTGCTCTTTGAGGAGGCAGCTCATGTGGGTTTATTAATTAAAGTGGAGAAGTCTATCCTTTCCCCTACACTGTATCTATTTTACTTGGGGGTTTTCTTCAATTCCCACCTCAGTCGGACCCACCCTTCACCACTATATCTTCAGGATATGGAGCAGTTGGTTATTAAGGCCCTATTCTCTCATTATCTTTCCAACTCTGGAGGTTCTATCTCTTTTGGGAATGTGGGCCTCCTTGGAAGCTCCCATACCCCTCAGTTATACTAGCACGTATTCCCTTCAATGAGAATTCTTTGATCAATGGAATTTCAGTTTGGATCCCTTGGATCAACCGGTTGTCCTTTCCCTTTGGACCAACCTTGCTTGGTGGTTGGACAGAATCAATACTGTGGTGGGTTCCTCTTCCACCTCCTTGTCCTGACCTGCATATTTTTACCGATGCTTCTGTTGTGGATTGAGGTGCATATCTCGATACCCAGGAGATTTATGGGAGCTGGTCGTTGGTTGCATCTGGGCATCATGTCAATGTTTTGGAGCTCTTAGCTATTTGTTGAGCTATGTCTCTTTTCCTTCTGAGGAGGAAGGTTATGGTGCATTCCAACAACTCCACAGTGGTATCATACATCACCAGGCAAGGGGTACCAAATCCAGGTCCCTTTGTTTTTGGACTCTGGAGCTCCTATTCTAGGTGCAGGTACACCAGATACAGCTCTTGGCTTTTCATATTCCTAGTGCTTTGAATATTGTGCAGATCAGTTACTGAGTCCATACAACTTCATTCCCACAGAGTGGTTCCTAGATCCTCAAGTTTTCTAGTAGTTATGCTCTCATCTGGGAACTCCGTACATAGATGCATTTGCCACCCATTTGAACAACAAACTGCCATCTTTCTGGTCTCTAGTTCCTTATCCTCAGGTTTTGGAGGAATGGAGGGCCCTTCACATTTGTGTCTTTCCACCTATATGTCTCCACATCAAAGTAAGCTCCCTCATACACACCACTTCGTGATGAGTTCTCTTGGTGGCTCCATTTTGACTGGCTCAACCTTGGTTCTTTCTCCTGAGGCCTCTACAATTGTCATCATTTCTTCTCCTCCCTCTCTCTCCTTTGTTAACCTTATTTGGATGTCTGTTCCAATCCTTTCATGTTCTTCTTCCTCGTTGAGCTTTTCCTATGCCTGATTGGGATCTCAATGTTGTCCTTTTTGCCTTTTCCTAACCTCCTTCTGAACCTTTAGCTTCATGTTCCTAGTATTGTCTTTCCCTCTAGACCTATTGCTTTCTCCTCCTGTCTCGCAGTCATCGTA